TCAGCGACACCAGTTGGCCGACGCTGACTCGCACCAACTATGGCGAGTGGGCGGTGACCATGAAGGTCAATCTTATTGCCCGACGGCTCTGGAATGCCATTGACAAGAGCACCGACAACGAAGAAGGCGACATGTCAGCGTTGGAGGCTATCATCGCTGTTGTGCCGACAGAGTATAGGGAGCCGTTGGGGGCGAAGAACTCTGCTAAGGAGGCGTGGAAGGCCATTGCGGCGATGCGCGTCGGTTCCGACCGCGCAAAGAAAGCGACGGCCCAGCTGCTGAAGCGGGAGTACGCCAACCTCAAGGTCAAGAATGGTGAGTCGGTGGAGGACTTCTCCCTCTGCCTGCAAACGCTCATCAGCAAGCTGAGGAGCCACGGTGTCACCATCGACGAAAAAGAGGCGGTCTCCAAGTACCTTTACTCCGTGTCGACGAAGTACATCCAGATTGCTCTCTCCATAGAGACGATGCTAGACTTGTCTACACTCACCATTGAGGATGTGACAGTCCATCTGCGGGCGGTGGACGAGCGCATAGAGCAGGCCACATCAACGACGGACAGAGACAAGCTGCTGCTGACAGAGGAGGAGCGGGCTGCCCGGATGAAGAAGTCCGGGAAGCCTCCTCCAGCCACGGTGGTGATGGCAAGCGCCGTGGTAAGACTTCTTCGGAAAAGAAGAAGAATGTCAACCCCAACGCCTGCCAGCGCTGCGGAAAGACGGGCCATTGGACAAAGGAGTGCCCAAATCGCAAGCAAAAGAAGGCTGAGGCTCATCTGGCGTAGGCTGATGATGATGGTGATGAGGCCACTCTCCTGATGGCGACGTTCTGTGTAGTGCACGACGTTGAGGCCAAGGAGAAAGGAGAGGTGATGGCGGTGGAAGAGCCTAGGAAGGCTCTAAAGGCTGTCAACCTCGACGAACCACGGGCCTAAGTCCACCTCGGACGTGTGGGCGACGAGCAGGAGCAGCGGTGGTACCTGGACTCCGACGCCAGCAACCACATGACAGGCTCCAAGACAGCATTCTCCGAGCTTGACGGCGACGTGACCGGCACGGTGAAGTTCGGTGACGGCTCAAGGGTGGTGATCCGAGGGCGCGGCACTATCATCTTCAGGTGCTAGAACAGCAAGCACCGCGCGCTGACGGATGTATATTACATCCCGCAGCAGCATTCAAGCATCATCAACATTGACCAGCTGGATGAGCACGGCAGCGAGGTACTGATCAAGGACGACGTCCTCAGGATCAGAGACCGGGAGCAGTGGCTTCTTGCCAAAGTGAAGAGGTCCCGGAACCGACTGTACCTGCTCGACCTGAAGGTGGAGCAGCCCATCTCCAGGGCTGCACGGCGCACGGAGGAGCCGTGGTTGTGGCATGCCCTGTATGGACATCTCAGCTTCGATGCTCTTGGTCGGCTGGAGAAGATGGTTACTGGGATACCTCACATCGAGCACGCAGGCGAGTTGTGTGACAGCTGGCTGACCAGGAAGCAAAGAAGGCCGCCGTTCCCGAAGACGATGAAGTACCGCGCGGCAGAGGCCCTCGAGCTGGTCCATGGTGACCTCTGCGGGCCGATCACGCCGGCGACACCCGACGGGCGCAAGTACTTCATCTTGCTGGTGGATGACTGCAGCCGGTACATGTGGCTGCAGCTTCTAACCAGCAAGACCGAGGCGGCGGAAGCGGTCAAGAAGTTCAAGAAGTACTCGCGCGGAGGCGGAGAGCGGCAAGAAGTTGCGCGTGTTGCGGGCTGATCGCGGCGGCGAATTCACATCGGTGGAATTGGTTGCGTACTGTGCGGATCAGGGCGTGGTACGACACCACAACGCGCCGTACTCGCCACAGCAGAATGGCGTGGTGGAGCAGCGGAACCAGACGGTGGTCGGCATAGCTCAATCCATGATGAAGGCTAAGAAGATGCCGGCGGAGTTCTAGGGAGAGGCGGTGACCACGGCGGTGTTTATCCTCAACCGCGCGCCCACCAAGGCCCTGAAGGGCAAGACACCGTTCGAGGCTTGGCATCGACGCAAGCCGAATGTGTCCTTCCTCAGGACATTTGGCTGCGTCGGCCATGTGAAGAACACCAAGCCTCACCTCGGCAAGCTGGAAGACAGGAGCACGCCGATGGTGCTCCTGGGCTACGAGGAGGGCAGCAAGGCCTATCGGCTTTATGATCCCAAGAAAGGCAAGGTGGTGATCTCTAGAGATGTGGTGTTTGATGAGATGGCGGCCTGGGACTGGGAGGGTCCGCACGGGAAGCCGGGCAACTTGAGCAAAGACCTTCGTCGTCGAACACTTAGTCATCCACGGTGGTGGAGACGCTGGAGAAGAGGTGCCGACCACCCGTGAGTGGTGCCGAGCGGTCCGGCGAAGCAATACCGACCACCTGTAGGGGGGGTGCCGAAAGCGCTCAAAGAAGTGGAGCCGACCACTCCAAAGAAGGGGATCCGACCACTCCAACAGTGGTGCCGAAAGCGGTCAAAGAATGATGCCGACCCACTCCGGCGAAGTGGTGCCGAAAGCGGTCCAAAGAAGAATAATGTCGACCACTCCGCGATGGTCTTTGAAAGCGAGTCCAAAGAGCGATGTCGACCACTCCGGCAGAACAGGGAGGCCGGGGACCACCGATCGAGTTCACCTCCCCTCCAAGCGACATCAGCGAGTTCGTGGATGCCTTCCACGATGGCGAGGAGGTGCGGTTCCGCAGGGTGGACAACATCGTCGACAATGCAACCCCACAGCACAGCAAGTCGGTGCTTTCGACGATCCGTAGCTGCTCCTTGTTAGTGCCGAGGAGCCACCGACGCGTTCTATGGGTTTTAACGCGACGCCAATTGGCGACGGCGATGTTGAAAAGATGAAGGCCATCGAGGACAATGGCACATGGGAGCTGGTAGATCCACCGGTGGGCTGCAGGTCGATCGGCTTGAAGTGGGTCTACAAGGTGAAGCGGGACGAGCGCGGCGCCATTTTCAAGCACAAGGCGCGCCTTGTCGCCCGAGACTTCGTCCAACGTGAGGGCATCGACTTCGAGGAAGTCTTTGCTCCGGTGGCGCGAATGGAGTCCGTTCGCTTGTTGTTAGCCATGGCAGCAGCGAAGGATTGGCGCGTCCACCATCTTGACGTCAAGTCTGCGTTCCTCAACGTCGAGCTTGCAGAGACGGTCGCCGTAAGCAAGCTCCGGCCGCCCGTTAAGGGCGCCGAGCACAAAAGGTGCTCAAGTTGCGCAAGGCGCTCTACTGGCCGTGGCAGTTCCCAGGCGTGGAACGCCAAGCTCGACGCCACCTTGGGCGAAGCTTGGGTTCACTCATCGCGCTTCACGAGCACACGCCTACACGCCGCGGCGACGGGGGAAGGAGCTCGTCGTCGGCGTGTACGTGGATGACTTAATCGTCACCGGAGCGCGAGCAGAGGGCATCGACGGTTTCAACCGCGAGATGGCGGCTCGTTTCAAGATGAGCGATCTCGGCGCTCTCTCCTACTACCTCGGCATCGAGGTGAGGCAAGGCAAGCAGAGCATCTCCCTCGGGTCAAGACGCCCACGCTGAAGAAGTCAGCGGAGCGCGGCGGCATGGCGGAGTGCAAGCCGTCGCGCACTCCAATGGAGGAGCGGTGGTTGTCCAAGCACAAACATGGCGGCGAAGGTGGACGCGACGCGCTACCATCAAGCATCGTCGGCGGCGGTCATACTACCTCACGCATACTCGGCGGACATCACGTTCGCGGTCGGGTACGTCAGCCGTTTCATGGAGGACCCGCGCGAAGATCACCGGTCGACAGTGAAAAGGTTGCTGCGCTACGTCAAGGGGACGCTCGATCAAGCGATCATCTTCTCCAAAAGTGGCGGCAAGGGTGGGTTGCGGCTCAGGTCTTTAGTGATGCACCCCCAAGGCAAAGGTAGGTGAGCCGAAGCTCACTGTCTTCAGCGATGCGGACATGGCGGGCGACATTGATGGGCGACGAGAGCACCTCCGGCGTGCTTTGTCTTCTTTGAGCGGCCCCATTGCTTGGCGGTCCGCTGAAGCAAAAGATCCCGGCGCCGTTGGACGTGTGAGGTGGAGTACGTCCGCAATGCCACGGCAGGCATGCCAGTCAGTCTGCATCACACACTTTGAAGCGAGCTAACCGGCGAGGAAGCTTCGACATCAAGTTCCACTTTCTTCGGGACCAAGCAGCCGGCGCAGCCAGACAGCCTGTTGGGAGCTAACCGGATGAGGTCAAGGCATCAAGTTAACAGCAGGATTAGGAGAAGAATTGTAAGACATAATCTGTTGCTCCCGTTTCTCCATTGCTGAAGAATGGTCGGCTCGGCCGACCACTCCCTGTTGGGAGTTGGAGACTGATCGGCTATACCGACCAGCTCCTGTAGTTGTAGCAGTAAGGCAGTAGGCCATAGTAGTAGTGGTTTACTTCATCCATGGAGAATGTAGATGGCTGAGCTAAGCTTTGTACCTTAGGAGTAGGTAGTTGGTGTACCCCTGTACCTTAGGAGTAGGTAGTTGGTGTACTCTGTACCTTAGGAGTAGGTAGTTGGTGTACTCTTGTACTCCGGTAGTAGGTAGTTGGTGTACTCACCAACAACTATGTACCTGGTAGAGATACAACTAGAGTTGTATATATTCTATCCAAAGGCAATACAGCAAATCAGTTCAGTTTGCCACATCCAGAAGCAGAGCTTTCGGCCAGCGCTGGGCTTGTGCTGTGTGTGTGAGTTGTTCTCAATATCTTCTTCTACCTTTAGCCATAGTGAGTGAGTGTGCTGGTAAGGTTATCGCTACCAAAGGCAGGCAGCCGAGGTACTAACAACATCCAAACGCATAGCTCGGTTCGGTATTTTAGCTAGGCAAGGCGGCACAAGATCGAGCCAAGAAACCAAGCATGCCCTTGATATTGCCCACTCGGCATTGACTCCAGCTCTGCAGCGTCATTTCAGCGCTTGAATTTAATGGACGCCAACCGGCACAAGAAGTCTTGACGGTGTCGATGAACCCATCAAGGTCAGTCCAGAAACTCTCCAAGTGGAACCAGCGTTTCATAGATGGGTTGTCGTGCAAGCCAAGGAGTAGTAGGCAGTGATCTGACAGCATTGTTGCCGCACTTTGTAAGAGACAGTTGGGGAAGATCACCTCCCAATCTGCCATGAAAAAATGCTCTGTCAAGGTGAACCAATGTCAGGGATGCAGGCCCGTTGGACCAGGTATATCTTCTCCCAATGAGAGGAACCACCTAAACCTGCCCATTGGACCAGGTCTATACAGCATGCATGCTAAGGCTGTGCAGAATCCAAATGATTTAACTGCTAAATCACATAACGGCATCCAATATGTACATTTTAGCTATCCCAGTTTGATTATTTTCTGAAACTAGATTTATACAACTACAGTTAAGCAACAAATCTTTATAGTTTTTTAATGCACATAACAGACAACTTGGGTCATGTCCAGAGTTTACCCAACAGTGAAAGGGGTAAAAAAACATAGTGGAATAATAAAGAGTACTCACCGCAGTCCAGAAAGTCCATTCATGGAAAAATCCATATTTCCTGATGGCCTCTCCATCTGGTGATCGATAGGTACTTGCTAACAAGCACATACTTCCAATAAATGACATCTCTATAGTCATCATGTAAGAGGTATGTTTTTTAACCTGAAGTATTAGTGAATATGTTAGTATTGACCATAAACTGCATCCTGGAAAGTAACAAGGTACGAAAGTCCAACCTGAGATGCCCACTGACACAATGAAGAAGCCAACCCAGACAGCATAGAAGCGACTGTAACTGGAATGATCCCATATAGCAAGATATAGTCAGAGCCACCACCCTTGGAACCTTTGCTACTACTCTCCCCCACACTTAAAAGAACAGCAGCACCAATTAAGAGGGCCAATGCTAAAATTTGCCTGGAAGATTGCTTTTGCCTGCACGATGTTGCAATCAAACTAATGAGTGCTGGACTTACTATTACCAGACCTTTGTCTGCGATGTTGCAAAAGGAAATCAAACTACTGAGAGCTGGTAGTTGTTTAATCAGAGAGTTAATGACGTGATATAGTGTATGGAGAAGTTTTAAATGAACATAAAAGAGTCCCAACTTTCATGTGGTAAGTGATCTGTAATAGAATATAAGCCTAGCTCTGATTACTAACATGATGTACCCAAAAATTAGCTCCAAACCAAATCATTAGAAAACAGACTAAATAGACACAAAATTGACTACTTCCCTATTAGGCTAATTCCATATCATCCAGGCTCGAGGATGAAACTCCATGCTGGGATTTCGTTTTTCATAACACATTAACCACTACTAGTTCTGCAAAATCCTTGAGATCCCCCAAGACACACACACAATCTTTATGGAAACTATGCTTATCTCTCTTGAGCTAAAAAAGCCATGGATGAGTAGGCTCATTGAATTATTAGCTTTGTGGCTGATTTTAAATATGTAGAGTTTTCATGTGGACTTCCACGCACTGAACAAATGTTGCGGGTAAACTTTAAAGCACCAGACAAAAGTTTTAAGAAGTGTTGCTTTTCCATTAGGTGATTATCTTCTGGTCTCAGGCACAATATGGAAAGGATGAAATGGCTCCATAAGTATTCAATACTAAGGAAGTTCCAACTATAATACTTGCATACATATTCTGGTAGTTATTTCTTCAAATGATCTTCAACCTGAGTATTTTTAAGAAATTGAAATGCAAAAAGGAACATACCCCAAAATAAGAAATGTGAAAAATGCTGTCCACAAAAGCTTAGTCTGGTTAAGGATTGAAAAGGTCAAGGAATCCAGATTCTTGTATGATACTTGCAGCAGACTATTCTGAAGGGCATAGATGGCAGCAGGCAGTCCAGACGCAGTTAGTGATCCAGTGAGAGTCCAGTTATTGAACTGTTTTTTCAGACTACCCTCTGCAATCAATAAAATGATTGCACAAATAACCTATACAGATGAAAAGGAAATCAGAAGCACCCAAGTGAAAAACATGTCATATTGATCATAATAAAAACTAGTACCAGACCTTTGCTGCTTCCGTTGCAAGAACTAGTGAGGTCACTATTGTATCTTGGCTGCAGTTGTAGAAACAACAAAGGGTTCAGTACATTCAAAATGGTACTTGGTTCCCTTTCATAATAAATAGCTGTGCAAAGAATGCAATTTCACAAAAAAACAGAAAACCTTGAATCTCAAAGCCATGAATGTGCATTGCTGAAAATTTTGGTACGAACTCATGCACTTTTCATGGGTTGGTTAAGGTATTACCAAAGAAAGGGAGCTATGTCCATCTGATTCATCTATACCATGGTCCATCCAGTTCATCTATACCATTGTCACATAGAGGAACCTATCTGCTTGATCTTAAACAAGAAAATTTATTACCCTATCCAATTTATCAAGCAAATATCAAGTCTCAACTGACTAGAACAGTATAATATCCTAACTAGAATAAACATCGATCAAATCTTCTTCTTCTTCTTGCGGAACGAGGCAGGAGCTCTGCTTAATCAATTCCTAATCAATTAAAAGGGAGCAAAGAAAAGGTATACGCCACTGTTGCAAACCTGATAAACATTCAGGCGAGAGGTGCGGATAAACATCCAGGACCTGATGCTGAGAAAAGGAAGAAAAACGGAAACGTGCAATAGGGATTCTTAAGGTGCTACAAAAAGGGCGCTTCTACGTTGGTTAATGTCCTCCATGGTGTGGAATGCCACTACATCCGCATTGAGTGATGAATGTTCAAAGATGCGTCCGTTTCTCTCTTTCCAAATGTTCCACATGATGTAGATTATGACCCCATTGAGCTGATGACGTGAAAGTTTTGGCGTGGCTTTGGAGGTTTCATGCCACCAACCGCTTCACACGACGGTTTGCGAAGTCATCTGACGCGACGTTCTGTGGGAGGTCCATGTAAGAATGGAGAGTACTCACACCCAAACAAAGTTTGAGAAGGGGCAGTTAAGGCAAAGGTGCAATGCCTTTCTGGATCGGTGTGACATACAGAACTTGTGGGCTGGTGTGGCCAGCCCCTATTTGCAAGGTTGTCTGCTGTGAGAATTTTATTTTGGTGGTCTTGGCCTTCCACACAAGGTTGGGATCAAACACTCAAACGGCGAGAAGGAACCCTTGAATTGTGAAAGGTAGGCTGATTTTGAGGTGTAGGAGCCACCTCTTTTCCATCTCCAGCCGATGGTCTCGAGGTTGTTTGGCAGGAGCTCAACCTGCTGGACTTGTGACCAAAGATCAACAAATTCGGCGACATGGACCACCATAGAAATTTTGCGGCGGAGAATGTGAATCCACCTCAAACTTGAGAGTACAATGGCGACAGAGTTGTTCTTGCGCCTAATCAGCTTGAACAAGGATGGTGCTATGTATTTGGGTGCACTTCGGTCGATCCACTTGTCTTGCCAACCCGGGCCTTGTTGTCGTCTCCAATTGAAATGGTGGCAGGCTTCAAAAAGCAGAAGGTCAGTGTCGTCGGAAGGAAGTTCAGAGCTTGCCCATGGTTTGGACTCTTCAGTCCAGTCTAACCAAAGCCACTGTAGGCGAAGTGCGCGGCTGAATTTTTCAAGGTCCAAGATGCTAAGTTCGCCCAAATTGAGGGGTGCATGCAGCGTTTCCAAGCTGCTTTTTGGCCCATTTGGAGAGGAGAAAAACCATGAGCGTGTATCTTGGAATTGATGAGAGAACTGAGTTGATCAAAGTCAGTCGGCCTTTCAAGCTAGGTAGTCTTGCCCCGGTTTTGTCAATGATAGGCTGAAGATGTGCTTTGGTGAGTTTTCTTAGGCCAAGATAACGGCAAGGGAAAGACAAGAGCTGCCCTGGAAAGCGTAAAATGATTTGGTCGATGTCGACCCCCTTGCAGCTAATTGGGAGGATGGAGCTTTTTTTGCAGCCCAGAAGCCTGTCCAAAAGTGTCGAGAATGTGGCGAATGGTGTCCAATTCCGGCAGACTGGGTTGATGAAAATAGCTGCATCGTCTGCGTATAGGGAAATGTGAAGATTGAGCTCTTGTGAGCCAATGGGAGTCAGCATAACTTGTTCTGAAGCTAGCTCAATCAAGTGGTGAAGCGGATCAACCGCTAGGATAAAGAGCATCGATGAGAGGGGCCTACCTTGTCGAATTCCCTTGCCATGTGTAAAGCGTTCACTGGGGATGCCGTTGAGGAGATCCCCTGAGGTTGCTTTTCCGAAAAAGATAGAGATCCACTGCCGCCATTTTAGGCCAAACCTGAGCCTTTGGAGAAGCTCAAGGAGATAACCCCAGTAAACTGAGTCAAAGGTCTTAGAGATGTCTAGCTTTAGGAAGAGGGCAGGTGTTTTACGTGTGTGTAGGCAACAGATTGTGTTCTGGACAAATACCAAAATGTCTTGGATGCAATGCTTTTTTATGAAGGCAATTTGGCAGTTTGACACAATGCCACGGAGGCGTGGTGCCAATCTGTTTGCAATAAGTTTGGAGAAGATTTTTGCAACGCTGCGCGTAAGGCTAATGGGCGGTAATCTCCCACATGTAGGGCGTCATTTTTTCAGAAGGAGAACGATGTGTGCTGTATTAACCATCCTGAAGCTCCCAGGTCTCAGATTATGGAGGCAGCCAAAAGCTTTCGTGTCAGATCAATGTATCCCAATTTCCCGTGAATAGCTGAAATGCTACTGCATAGGCTCCCACGCCTCCACAATGTGGATGTCTACAAGGGAGCAACTAGAATTCGCTGTTCCGATTCAAAAATTGTACATGCCTTACTGAAAGGAAATCAAATGGTCCGGGGAAAAAACCCGAGTATGAGCGTTCTAGGGTAGAAAAGCCGTCTACTGCTGCAAGCAAAATCAACTAGGGAAGGCGCTCTGGCTGGCGCGTGCGAGGGTTGGGTTTACCGGACAAAGCGCTTGGAGATGAGGGGCTGGGCGCCGTACTGCAGGGTGAGGAGCGCCAGGTAGAGCGCCACCTTGCGCCGGCTCGGCGCCACCGCTGCCGCGGCCACCGGAGTGGACGAGGAGCCCATCCGGCCTCCGGCGCGCTCGCTCGGTTCCCGATCCAAGCAATCAAAATGCGCCCGGCGCCCGCTGTCCCTGTTTCGGGAACTTTTCCTTTCCTTGACCGAGCAGGCGAGCACGCTTTACTCGCCAAAAAAATCCCGTGTTTCTGGTCTTGATTTGATTTGATCTAGGGACAGGGAACCAGGACAGAGACTGGACGAGCACACCGCCGGCAAGTCGCTCCCACGTTTGCGCGGCTGGGGGCAATGGGCTCGGCTGGATAGAAGGAATTGGCTCGCGCGCAAAGGGTTGTCTGTACTCCCTCCTTCAACTTTGACCCAAATTATATAAAAAAATATTAACATTTCTGATATAAAATTAGTATTATTAGATTAGTTATAAAATATATTTTTATAATAAATTTATTTAAAGACATAAATATTAATACTATTTGTTATAAATTTGGTCAAACTTGAGCTACTTTAACCAGCAATGAATCTCGTAACTTTTCTGGACAGAGAGAGTAGAAAATTTGAAAATGATTTTTAAACTGTTTTGAACACAGATATAAATAAATACTCAGATACTAGTTGTACTCTTGTCGTCCTCTTAGAACTAAACTTAGGCCGCGTTTAGTTCCCTCCGATTCCAGAATTTGGCACTATGCAAAAAGAAGATTTCCCGTCACATCAAACTTACGGTACATGCATGGAGTACTAAATGTTGATGAAATCAAAAACTAATTGCACAGTTTGGTTGTACTTTGCGAGACGAATGTTTTGAGCCTAACAATTCGGCGGAACTAAACGAGGCCTTATATGTCTGTGGGTCGCAACACTTTACACCATCACTTCGACGCATGTTAAAAGTGTACTTCATATCATCACTTTGACTCACGTTGTTCTAACTCTTATGAGCACATGCCGTAAGTCCATATCATAGAGGTCAGGGAAGAGTAAAAGCATTGTGGGAAGTAAAAAAAGATGGACGAAAGAATCTTTTCACTCTTTAATATTAGATAGATATAGATATAGATATAGATATAGATATAGATATAGATATAGATATAGATATAGATATAGATATAGAAGGAGTTTGGTCGTCAAATTGCTTAATCTCCTAGCAACACATACAATGGTAGACCCAGGATGTTACACCAGGGTATTCCATGTGAATAAATTGTGCAATAATGCATAGGATTATAAGTCTATAGGAAGGAGGAGGATTTAGGCCCCGTTCGCTGGTCTGAATCTTGGCTGAACCTGCCTGAAAACATTGTTCTGACTAAATTGTTATGAGAGAAAAATATTGTTTCGGCTAAAAAAACAAGCCGAACAAATTAAATATGGGGTAAGCCGAACAGGGCCTTAGTGTGGATGTGCAAGCTATTTTCTGTCTTTGTAGTTTTCTTCCATGATACAAGGCAAATATGCTAACACTTAGCATGTGTATTTGTTTATTTTATTTACCAAAGTCATGGGTATTTCAATGAATACCTAGGAATATCCCTCCCGTCGCCCTGAACACATAGGTTAAAAAGACACGAGTGCATGTTATTGATTTCGGCTACAAATTACAAGTCATTTGCTCAAGATGGTATTTAAAAGGCACCCATGGATAAGGTTTAAAAAGCAAGCATGAATAAAAATAGAGTTAAGAGCATCTACCGGAGACTCTCCATATCTTTTCTAAATGCTACAAATAGAGATTTTGATGAAAAACTACCCTCCAACAGCTTCTCTAAATAGTTATTCAAATATAGTCATCTTCTATTCTGGATTTTTTGCTGGCCAAAAATAGAAGACGATAATGGCTTTCTAGAGTGCGCATGAGTTATAGAAAAATGGTTGGAGAGTGAAAAAATATAGAAAACGATTTTTATGCAAATGACTCTCCAAATGATGATTTAGAGAGTGAGATTTAGAAAGGCTTTTGAAGATGCTCTGAGTAGTCCAGATTATATCTTATAATTTAGGATATATTTTAAACATTGAATACTTGTATCTTATAATGGAGGGAGTACAATATTCATGACTCGTTAGGTCCACAAAGCAATAGGAAAATAACAGAAAGAGTGTATGCTGAAGATAGTTCATGGCCACGTTCTCTCAATTAGCACGTATTAGGGTAAATCCAACCCTTAGGCAGATAAGTTTGACCGACCGACCATTGTTTACTCTCATGCTAAACATTTGGTAGGATAGACTTAGTCAAGGATCCTAGCTTTCATTGCCTCATTGGTTTGGTTTCTTGCAAAATACTTCCATAACTACTTGCATACCAGAGAAGCACATATGGGGTTTCTCTCTCCGTCATCGTCGTTGTTACGAGAAAGACATAGTGGTCGTGTCTAAACCATAAGGGTTGGCTAGCTCGGCTGGTGTAGGTGATGATATAAATGGTCATTGTTAAAGTAATTGAATTGTGGTGATCGGTTGTTGGAGATTGACAACTACTATTTGTTTCTTTGTAGACGAAGGGTAGAGCCTCATCTATGGGCCCTCACCCACTGTGTCTATCGATGCGACATGGACAAGGGCTTGTCGGCTTGGTGAGCATCGTTGCCAAAGGCCGAGAGTGCTAGAATGGGATAGGGAAGGGCGCTACGATGCACGAGAGAAGTCGTCGGGCATGCGACAAGGAGGGGAGTAGGGAAGATGTTGCCTTTTGGGAGAGAAGGGATCCATAAAGTGGCTGGACATGTCCTAAGCATCTCCAAAAGTTCCCTAAATCCATTTTCTAATCCTTGTTTTTTAGCAAGATGAAAAAAAACACTCTTCAACACCTCCTAATCCATCGTCCTAATATTTTAGAACTTAGGAAAAGTCACCATGTTCCACGTAAAGTTATGCGCTTCCAAGTCACGCATATCTTCTCTTCCCGTGCGTGTTTGTCGACCAATCTAAAGGTGGAAGGACATGAAAAGAATAAAGAGTACGTATGAGAGAGAAAGAATATATAAAAGTGGTTAGTATAATTTAAAAATAGTATATGATTTTTTATGTAAAATTGTCTTTTATATTTTAATAGTAGATTATTAGAAACTCTGAGACATATCCTTCTTTATTACTTCTTACACTTTTAGGAGCTGTAAAACTCTATGTTACGCTCTTGATCCTCCTATCTTCTCTGTGTTGCCTCATTCATCGCGCAGAATTTGGCATTAAAGCCCAGACGGGTGAACGGAGGTTTGACGGCGACTCGTTGCAGTTTGGTGTAAAACGCATGTCTAGGAGACAAACCGACGTACGGTGCGGGACCTCGATTGTAGCGCAAGGTGGGCGGGTGAACAGGCAGCCTTTGATATAGAATATAGACAATTAGCAGACTATTTTTTCACATAAAACTAAGGCACAATGTGAGGAAATGCGGTCCTATTGTCAAGCTAAAATCATGAAAACAAAATAAAATGATATACTGACCTGCCGACTAATCCTTTACAAGGAACTGCATCTAACAACAAACTAAACTTTTATGTTTTCCCCCACGTTCTTCCGCCAAAAAAAAAAACTTTTTTTGTTGAAAATGTAAATCTACCCTATCCAACCTAAGCATACGGAAACTCCGAAAGCAAATTGCATGTACATCAAACCACCCAGGATCTCATGTCCACGGACCACGGTCACACTCCATCGGAAGAAACGGTCTTCTCATCTCCATTCCCACCAATGCGCTCGTAGAACAGGATGTAGCCATGATCCGTGTTGCCCGAATATTCACGAGAGGAGCCATAGAACGTCTGTAGGGTGGACTCCGGGATCATCTCGACATTGTCATCATCGAAGGACAGCCAATGGTCATGGCTCTTGATCTTGGCTACGTAGTGCCCCTGGTTGGGGCCGCTACCCAGGTGGACCACCACGGCAAAGAGGGAGTACTCACAGTCAGCAACGGCATCACTGGAGCTGCTGCTGAGCTTAAGCTCCAAGGGGTACACCACTCGGTACGACAGCTTCTTGTTCCGGTTAAGCTGCTCGATGAACTTGAAGCGCTTTAGGTGGATCACCAGTGTTTGTGGCACCTTTTTTATCTTCATTCTCTTCTCTGCTTCTTGCAAACTGCATGATGAGAAACCAAAATTTCGAGTTCAGTACATGGCACAGGGAAATCAAGCTAAGTAGTTCCTACACATATGGTGATTCTCGATGCATATTTCCACCTCACTTATAAGTGCAAGGTTAGCATCCCAGTTGAAACTGGACATTCAGATTCCCAATGAAAAATGTATGCACAAACTTAGAATCACTTGTATTCCAATGTGACCATTACATATATTCTGTTGTGATCTCGACAGAACAAATTTCTCAATATTGTAGAAAAAGTGCAGGGGAAAAATGTAGAATAGCAGAAATTGCCATATTAGAAGGGATTGGCCTGTAATGCTTCCCTTCTAAGGGAGTACTTGCTTGCATGTCAGATTTGTTCTATAATTATCTGGATTTAAGTACTTGATAAACTGGGTGTGTTTGGTTTGAGGAATCAAACCATTCTAGATGAGGTGGTGCATCATGAGTCCATTCCTCAAATTTGGTGGAATGACTTCATTCCTCACACTAGTACTAATTATTAGTTTATGAGGAATGACATGATGATGCATCAACCCATTTCATTCCATAAACCAAACAAAAAAGGGAGGAGCAAGAAGATGATGGACTAACCCATTCCTCAAACCAAACACCCTATTAATGAACAGAACAAGGATTGAAAATATTGACATGCCAATGAACCAGAGATTACATATTATCACAAGTTCACAACAAAGAGACAACCATTAGGAGACCAAAATGGCATCTAGTTTTGTTACCTGCAGCACTTGTCACAGAAGAACTTGTCATCCGCATTTAAAGTCTCGGTAGAAAAGAAATTCTTCAGGCAGCTTGTGAGTGAACTATTCTGTTCAATGTCAACGCTCAAGTCAAAAAATGTCTCATCCTTTGCGGTGATTGTCTCACACATTAAGCATCTGGTTTCATTTGTCAAAGTACCCTGCAAAGGTAAAGGGTAACTGTGCATGAAATCTTTATAA